CATGGTCATAGAGAGATAGGAACACTCATACAATGCTGGTGGGACTGAAAACTATTATACTACAAACTCTATGGAAAGTGATATGGAGATACCTCAAAGAACTAAAAGTAGAACTACCATTTGATTCAGCAATCCCACTACTGGGTATTTACTCAAAGGAAAAATAGACATTCTATAAAAAAGACATCCGCACTCAAATGTATATAGCAACGCAATTCACAATTGCAAAGATGGGAAACAACCCAAGTTCCCATCAATACATGAGTGAATTAATAAAATGTGGTATATGTATCCCATGGAGTACTATTCAGTCATAAAAAGAAATGGTGAACTAATACCTCTTGTATTAACCTGGATGGAGCTGGAGAGCATTCTTCTAGGTGAAGTATCACAAGAATGGAAAAACAAACACTACATGTACTCACCATTAATTGGTACTAATCAATCAACACATATGTCTACATATGGAAATAACACTGGATATCGGCAGGTGGTGGTGGGAGGAGGGCTGAGTAAATTCACACCTAACAGGTGCAGTGCATGCTATCTGGGGCATGAGCATGCTTGTGCAAAGGCAATTTATGTGACCAAAGAGTTTGCACCTCCATTATATTCTGAAAATAAATAAATAAATAAATAAATAAATAATAAATACAAATTTAAAAAATGAAAATAACTAAAAATAGAAGCTTATGAAACGTGGCTTCTTAGAAAAATTTGGGGTGGTGGGCTTATCAATGATTTTTTTCTGTTTTATCACCTACTAATGTGCATCTAGAGTGAAGAAGAATTGAAGTGCTAATTAATGGAGCCCATGAAAAGGGTAATACCACATCACTGAATTGGACAGGGCTATCCTAGGCTACTGGGGTATAGCCAATGGGACCCTTTGTTTTAAATCCATAAACTTAACTGCTTTCCATCAGACTTACTTGGAAAATAAACTATTTTTATGGTATTCGAAGAGGGAGTGTAGGAATTTGAGGAAGCTAAATTTTGCAGTTCTTTCTCTCACCCCCTTCAAATCCAAAGAAAAAAGTAAAATTAATCTTTGATTCAGATACAACACTGCAGTAGTGAAAAGGATTAATTTCTCCCTCTCAAGTAAAAGGACCAAAAGTCAAGTCATAGCTACTAGAATTGATTTTTCAAAAGTCAAAGGTCATGTGTTAAGTACTTTTAATAAAAATCATTACCAGGCTGGCCCATGAAAACTAGGTTGTTGTAAAAGAATGTTCCCATAATGGTGACAGCTTTAGGTGGCTTGCTGAGGGAATGGGAATTGAACAGTGGTAGAATAGGTCTAATATAGAAAATAAGTTACCCTATACCATTACATAAGAAAAAATGGCCGATTATTTTTATTTAACTTCCTAAAACAATAGGATTTGAGGCATATGGTCATATCATCTGTGAAAGAAGAACCTGAGAAGAAAAATGTGACAACCAGAGCTTTTGTAATTTGCTGGCACTTCCTTGAAAATCAATGAGAAAGCATAAAAGATGCTAATAAACTTAGCTACTACCACAGAAGAGGAAGAATAAAACTGATAACATTACTCCCAAAGATGAATAATAACCACTGAGGGGGTTCACCTCCTGGCGTGTCGAGTATATAACTGATTTCATTAATTAATTATTGCCAGACATTGATATTAAGGTATCAGCTATGTGGAAATAATTCATGCAATCACTGGAAATCCTCAAATATGACAAAGAAAAATTATTATCTGTCAAAAATTAAGTATTACTCATGTAATTATTGGTATAATTAAATTCTCCAGGCTTATCAAGTGATTTATAATACATTTGGTAGACATACTAAGCACAATTATTTTCCCTTTTTCAGTGTGTACATGGAGATTAGAGTCATTTATCAGACTCATGAGACGTCACTCAGCAAAGCGTTAGCAAAACATTAACTGGAAATCAAAAGGTTCTCACTCTTGGTCTAAGGTTTAACATCTACATTTATATTTTCATTTTCTACTTGAATTTAATTTTGACTTTGAAAACAAGCTATAGTCCTTAAAAGATGCACTCCTTGATTTTTCAAGGGCTACTTATGGGAAGGCTTATTAGATATATTTAAAACTAATGATTTAAATTCAGTTTTATTCCTTTTAAGAATATTTTGTAAGAGAATGTAGGTGAGTAGAATTTCCAAGTAGTGTCCCTATGATTACTTATTTTAATGTGAAATAATAAAAATAAAACTAGACTCGAAGGCAGGGAAATCTTCCAGTGGTAGTGCAAGGTGACCTTGAGCCCATCATTCATTTAACTCTGTGCCTGAACTCCTTTATAAAACTGTAAAATGTTGCTAATATCTGCTACCACTACTATGAAACATTAAAATATAGAAATAAGATGAATAGTGAAAGATAAATATAAGTTATGTCTATTCATTGAATTCTGGTTTGCTCTACCTGTTTCTAAAACACTTGGAAACAAAGAATATTTCCACACATGCACATATGTGTGCACAGTGGAGAAGAAGGGGGTAGGTAGGCATGTGTGTGTTTATGGCTATGTGTTCTTTGGGAGCCAGGAACATTATTATTTTATTTATTATTTTATCTCCCAAAGAACTTAGGCAAATGCCTAAATGAGCACATTGATACAACCATGTGTCTCTTTATCATGACCTGAAAGACTTTTCAAAATTTTTCCAATCTACCTTTCCATTTCATTGTCCAGTATATCTTATTTGCTTTAGAGACTACATGACCTTCACGTGAAGATGCTGTACGTGGTCATGACACCTTGAACTTGGGCTTGATACTCCCCCATCTTAAATACCTTTCCCATCCCCTCCATGAAGTCCTACTCACACTTGAAGAATGGGCTCATTGTAAAGTCTTTCTTGACCACATGAGACAGAATTAATCCTTCTGGGCATTCTACGTTAGCACTTAGCATTCTGTTTTTTTCATTATTAATTTATATGTCCATTTCCTCAGCCAGAATGAGTAAACCATGACCTATTTGGGTGTTTTCATAATCCCAAGGATACTGCTTGCGACACAGCAGGGATGCAGTTAATAATATATTTTATATGAATAACAACTAAATGAATTCAACTCTCAGCCTCTTGAACTTCTTGTGGGAGGCAATATTAAATAGTAAAGAATGCTATGCTTCAGATTCGTATCATCGCAGTTATAATCTGGCCTCTATCACTTACTGGCTGCATGACTTTAAGTCACTTAACCTCTCTGTGTCCCCATTTATGTGATTGTACAAAGATCATAAGAATAGACCTTAACTCACAGGGTCATCATGATATAAACAACGTAACTCATGTAGCGTGCTAGACCATTGCCGGGTCTACGTTAAGTGTAAAAACTGTTAGCAAATATCAGTAAGAGTGATGCTTAAATTCTCACATTTAAAGGCTAATGAGGGCAAAGTAAATGATGTCAGTAGTACCATACCCCTTTAAATATAGTCTAACAACTTGAGTAATCAGATCAATTCTCTGTAATTATGTTCCTGAAATTATTAAAACATATTTATTATGTAATCACAGTTGATCTTCATTATTTGCAGATTTTGTATTTACAAATTTCTCTACTTGCTAAAATTTATTTGTAACACACAATCAATACCCATGGTGCTTTTGTGGTTATGCTCACAGCAGTGAAAACTTTGAGTCACCAGATGTACCTATTCCCAGCTGAGGTTGAACAAGGAGAAGGTCTGTCTTCTTGTTTCAGTCCTTATACTATAAACAAGTGCCGTTTTTGAAATATATTAGGTGCCATTTTTTTTTTACATTTCCTGCTTTTTGGTAGTCATTTTTCTGTTTAAAATGACCCCAGGAGATTTTTTTAAAACTTTCCACATCTTTGTATTGTTATCCTGTTCGTGGATGCTATATCTTCTCTTAGATTATCAAGGTATTAATGACATCTTTTCAAATCTTGTTCTGTCCATGACTGCTGTTTCCTTCAGGTATCATTATCTTCTTATGTATTATTTTTTTCCACATTCATTTATGCTAAGGGGTTTCTTTTATGTCTGGTAGTGTCAAATTGTTGGTTTACATTAAAATGAAGTACTAAGAAGCTGAATTCAAACTGCAAATTCTAGTGCATGGGTGGAGCTTATTAACTAATGGCCTCATTCCTGGGGAATTAATCAGAGATCCAGCTGTTGTCTTCTCTAAAGTTAGTAATTTTCTCTAGAGAAGGATTATCTGATATTCTAGCTAGTTGTCATTGCTTTGGGTATTAGATGAAGGAAGAAGACATGGGTATTTCACATCTTTGACTTAATAATATGTGTCCACATTCCTGTTCTCTTCTGTGGTTAATATAATATCTCTGAATCTTTGGCTTCCTTGTTTAATATCCCTGGAGCATAAAACTCCTGGCTGCTCTAAGGTCAGAGAGGGGTTGTGCACTGGTTTTACTGGGTGTGGGTTGGAACCACAGGCCTCAATCATCTTCATGACTTTCAGTGCATTCCCTGTATCAGCACCATGCTTCAACCCTACCTCCCAAGTAATCTAGAAAGCTACAATGTCTTGTCCAGGTTCCCCTGAATTTTGTCATGGTTTCCATTCCCTTGCTTTTCATTACTCTCTGTTAAGAAGGTATTTAGGTTTCAGCTTTCCCCTTCCCCTCAGTTATCGTATCTCCCTCCCATTTGCACCTTCCAAATATTAGTTGATATCTCTCATCCAATATAGTCTTATTCTCTATATCTTTATGGGTTTATACCACTTAGAATATTTTGCTCTCCTTCTAGTGGTCTATGCAAAGGAGAGCTGATAATGCATGCCATCAATCAAATGAATTTTGTATTTTTGTTAAAATCACACAAGTAAGAATGCAGTCAGATTCTAAGAATGGGTTTAATTTGGCTCTAAGTGGCAATCACTAATACTTTTTGCTTCTCTGCTTTCTTCACACTCATGTTTGGGTCACTTCTTTGACCCTGTCCTGTTGTCCTTTATTTCTCCAATGTTTTAATTTGCATCTATTATCTTGCAGAGTATCAAAGTAAGCTGGCTGCCTCCTCCATCAGGAACACAAAATGGATTTATTACTGGCTATAAAATTCGACACAGAAAGACGACCCGCAGGGGTGAGATGGAAACACTGGAGCCAAACAACCTCTGGTACCTGTTCACAGGTCAGTGTTCACATGGTGTAGTCTTGCAAGGTTTTGATGAATTAAATGCTTTAGGAATAAAATACACTTTCACTTCAAAGGAACATTGATTTTTTTTTCTTGGCAGGTGACATTTATTGGCTAGAACAAGAGTAACCTTTATATTTTAACTTTATATTCTCTACAATGCTTTCAATATATATTATACTCTGCACCATCATCTTAATAAATTCATCCTGCCATTTTTATCTGTATTGGTTTCTCAGTGTTGCTGATTCACCAGTAGCTCCTGTTATCTAATAACTTTTAATGTTTTAACTAATAACTTTTAAAGGTCATTTAATAAAACCGTTCTAAGTTTAAGTCACTTTGATCCCTGTTCCCCATTCTCTAGGGGTGAGGATGGGGTAGAAAAGGAGGAAAAGGGTAGATTGGGAAATAAAGAGAGGGATTGGGCTACTTTCCACAAATTTTAAAAGTAAATTCACTCTTATATCAATATTGTCAGAATTCATAGTAGGTCAAACTTCTCTGTGAAAACTGGACTCAGTTCCCATGCAAAGATTTTTTTTTTAAATTTTATGAAATGAATACTGATATATTTTCTTTAACCATTGCAACCCTTAAGGCATGTCAGTCTAGGTTCCTAGAAAACAGACCAAGGCAAGGCTTTCAAGGTAATACCTGTGGGAGTGTAGGCTCAGGAAAGCAAGAGTGAGGGAACAAGGCAATGAGCCAGGGAAGAAGAGGAATCAGATAATGGTGGCACATTATTGAGCTGGGGTGGCCACAACTTCGGGACAAACACAGGGCTTGCTAGGTCTTCTGGGTGTCTCTTGAGTGTCTACATGAACTACTGTCTCACAATCTATGGTTGGAAAGGGAGTGTGAGCAGTCTGTCTCTTGTCTGTCATTGATCAAAATCCACCAGCAGGATATGGACTACTCTGTACCTCCAGACAACCTCCTGCGAAGCCAGAGATTCTGGGAAATGTACAAACGTGGAGGTGTCTCCTTGTCAGCCAGCATTTTACATGGTGATGGCTTGGTCTAGGGTAGCAGCAGCACTCAGAGCTTTACAGCCCTAGGAACAGCATGAGCTACTGCTAGAGACTTGGGAGACAAAGGAAATAGCAGTGGCTCACGACAGAGATGGGTAGGTGAAGTTGTGCAAACTGGGGTGGCACATAAACGGGGCTTAGGATAGCATACACACTATAAAGGATGTGACTTATGACTAACGGATAAAGTGAACTAGTATTTCGAATGAGAAAAAAGTCCATTATTTATCCCTTTCCTCTACACCTCTGCTTACTAAATCTCCACTTGAAATTATAACACACACACACACACACACACACACACACACACACACAGTGTAAACTTCTTGTTTAGCCTACAATCAGAGACTCCAAAGTAACCTGGTTTTTTCCCATCGGGTTTTGTGCCTTTTGTGCCTATACAATTTTAGCATAATGGTGAGAATGCTTCCCAAAGTATATTGTCAAAAATCACATTACATGTTTTAAATCTGAACAAAGTCTCTTAGACATATATGGTTGAATCTAAGAGAAAGTATTGGCATTCTACTATACAATTTTAAAGACTTTTAAAAAAGCCAGGATCCTATGTTTTTTCCTTGATGAAATTATGGGATGAAGGTAAAAATAACTGAAGTGAGGCATATGGGCTCATTAGGATTCTTAGGAAAAATTATAATTTACTCGGAGAGAAATCACCAAAACTGAAAAATATTGCTAAAAATATTTTAGTATAATTCCCAAATTTAATATTACACTAGAAGAGACCCTAAAGATAATTTAATCCGTCTCATTTTTTTTACAGATATAGGAATTTGAAGCCCTGAAACTTTCTTGTCATTGCTTTTCTTTCTGAAATGATAAAGATTAAAAATATAAAATAAACTTCTCATTATAAAAGAATCAATTAAAGGATGAGCATTCTAATAGGAAGGCTAAGGATTAGATATTCAATTGACAGAACTATAAACCGCCAATAAAGATGATAAAATGTTCAATCTCATTAGTAAATAGAAAAATGCAAATTAAAACAAAAATGAGCTGGCATTTTTCTTTGATTAAAGTAATAATGATAAAAGTAAATGATGGCACACAGTCCTGGAAAGAATATGAGAAATATGAACTCATATACTGCTTGTGGGACAGAAAACTTTTAGAACATTTCTGGAAAGCAATGTGAAGATATATGTTCTGTACAGATACATATATATAAATATGTGTATGTATGTTTATATATACATGTTTTTCATAAAGCTATGACCATGATTTCAGTTTCTAAAACTTCATCCTAGGAAGCAATCATATTTCTCAAAATTTTTAACTAGGAACATATCCATTGCAATATTACTTGAAAAGCAAATAATTTTTTTAAAAAAACCTAAATATCCAACTATAGGCAACTACCTAAGCAATTCAGATACAATCATATCATGGAATACTGTACATCTATTGAAAATAATATAGTGTAAAAATATTAAATCACATGTTAAATATTTCAAGCATATTGTCAAGTAAATACTTCAATTTTAAATCATTATTAGTACATGAGTCCATATTTATAAACAAAACAATGTGCATTCATATAAAATATTTAGAACACTATATATACCAAAATGTTAATAGTGAGTATTGCTTACTTTTGTAACAATACAATATGTATTTTTAATTGCCCACATAAAGTGAAAAAGAAATTAGAAGTCAAGACTTTAATGCCATATTACAACTTTTGGTTACAAAAATTGAAGATTTCCTCCCACTAAAGCTATCTGAATACCAGAAGAACCCTTAAGAAGGGAGTCGTCTGGAAAATAAATGAAAAGCAGTAGCCTCGTGGCCAGCAGATTTCACTAGTATTCATGAGTTCACTTAGTATTTGTGAGTTCTTTTGGTAAATAGAATTTAATAGATTCAGTTCAGTATTATCCCTAACTACATAATATTTTTCCCTAAATACATAACATTTTAAGACTTTATGCATAAGGTAAAGTTATTGAAAAAAAAAAAAGAAAAGGGGAGGGAAGGGGGAGAGAGAGAGAGAGAGAGAAAGAGAGAGAGAGGGAGAGAGAGAGAGAAAAAAGCTAGTCCTAGGGATGCCAAAACAATTTACCACAAACTTGGTGGCTTAAACCAGGAGAAATTTATTCTCACAGCTCAGGAGGCCAGCTGCCTGAAATCAAGGTGTTGGCAAGTTAGGTTCCTTTCAGAGACCCTGAGGAAGAATCCATCCCATGCCCGGCTCCTAGCCTCTGGTGTTGCCAGCAGTCCTTGACGTCCTGTGGTTTATAGATGTGCTGCTTTAATCTCTGCCTTCATCTCTGCACCACCTTCCTCTCTCTGTATCTCTGTGTTCTCTCCTCTTCCAGTAAAGACACCAATCATTGCATATAGGCCCCACCTTAAATCCAGAGTGAGTTCATCTAAGGATCACTAATTAATTATATCTGTAAGGACTCTATTTACAAGTAAGATCCCATGCTGGTGATCCAAGTATAAATGAATTTCAAGAGGGTACTATTCAATCCACTACAGATGCTCTAAAATTATTTTTTCCTCTCTAGGGCAATCATTTGAATTGTATCTTCTAATAAACTTTGATTATTCAAAAATAAATAATTAAATTTTACATTTTTATTCATCTAACATATGTGTGACAATTAGAGCCTGTAATCAGCATGGGGTGGCCCATCTCCACTCTGGTTTATTATCATTCCAACCAAAAGCAAAGAAATGAGATATAATTAGTTTGTTGCTGGGAATAGCTCACAAATTCCCATTTCTGTCTTTATAGATTTGTAGGAATCTGGACCCCAAATTTGAAACCTTTCTTCGTACTTAATTCTTCATTGTATGAGGCATAAAAATGTATTTAGGAATACAAACAGAATCTGAGGAGTCATATTTGTAACTGCACCTGATATTTATTGCAAAAAAAAAAAAAAGATTACACATGCTTCTTTTTCAGTTGAACTAAAGCAATAAAAAAGTTAGTGAATAATATCATACCCTTAAAAATTCAAAAAGAAGCTTTGTAAAATCTCCACCTTCCTCTCCCCTGCTCTGTGAGTTGGCTTCAGAAATAGCTGTTGCATTTCTAGACATTGTGGGAATATCCACAATGCTACAAAGCCTTAAGGAACCAGAAAGTAATACTACATGCTGGTAGATTGGCTGTGGTTTAGACTTGTCCCCAGGATATATCTAGTAACTTACATATTTTGTAGTAAGTAGAAGTAATTGATTTTCCATATAAATCTGCAGCACTGTAAAATGTAAAAGATTTGACCCCATGTTTCCAATGCCTGTAAGATACATGGGTATATTGATTTGGTTGTTAAAAAATTGGAACTGCCAGAATGCTTCATTTGTATGATATAAATATTCAGGTGTAGAGGCTCAAACTTTTTATTTTTATTTTACAATCCTCTATTTGTTAGACAGGTGTTTCTTGTTGTGTGTGTGTTTTTTTTTACCAGGATAATGAGACATCTGCAATAACAAAGTAATTCAGAGTTATAACAAGGATTTTAAATTGCTGCTATCAGTTTTATAGTGGGAACCCATGTCAACTAAATTTTAAAGTGCTCTTTTTAATTTTTGATCGCTCTTCAGAGAAGGTTGTTTGAAATTGAATTTAAGAGTTTTCTTATGTTTCATGGCCAATATGGAATGAACATAATGATAAACATGCCTTGATATTTTATGGACTGAAAAATTGAAACAATAGCATAGCAATTTTATAACAAGGTTAACATTAGGGAAATTAAATTGTTTGAATGATATGCTATCTCTTACCATGAGATCTAAAAATGAGAAATAGAAGAGAAGAAATACAGAGCTTGAAGGAACTTAGTATTAAGGATAGAAACAGGCAGAGATAATCTGCTTTCAATAATAGAATTTTCTACAGTTAAGAAAAGCATTGCTAGCTACGCCTTACATTCTTTAGAATAAGATTATACATAGAAGCAGCTAGGACATGCA